TATTCACCAGAAAGGGGCAGCAGCGTTCTTTGAGTATTATCCCAGCGTAGTGCGATCGCCAACAGGTTTTTCCTGGTATTGTAGAGGCGCATAGGTAGGCACCATCCTGCCATTTCGGCCGAAGCGGTACGACACAATTAAAATTTCGACCAAATGTCTCAAGAAAGGTGTCGACATTCTAAGGAGTCAGGTAATCAACCACTCTACACTACGAGGGTGGTTCACCTATCTATGCAACAAAAAAGAGTTTATAGTTTCGAATTTTTCCGTGATGTAAAAGCGGTCAAGCATAAAAAAATCCTTCACGCTCCCACTTCTGCTGCAGCTTGAGAGGTCATAAGGCCAGTAGAGAAAGTGTCTTAAATTAAAAACGGTAAGGATCAAAGCACCCTTTCGTAATCTTTTGGAAATATTTTAAAACCAATCCGTCTAGGTACTATCATCATTTTTTGCCATATTTGAGAAACGATCTTTCGTTCTTTTGGTTTTCCTATGAATAAATAATTTTCTGGAAATAATTAGATAGACAGTTCTTTTTGTTCAAAATGTCATGACCCAAACTAAAAAGAGAATCTAATAAGAAAATGAATAAATCTTGGGGTGCCAGTGATTATAGCGGAAATTCGATAACTGGGCTAACATTAGTAATATTAAATCGCTACTAAAAACAACCCATTAGGCAATTCGGCCTTAAATGATAAAAAGCTTAAATGTTAATTGTGGACATGGTTATTAATATCTTGAGATAAGATAACAATGAATTAATTACGGCAATAACATATAACCGCTAGTTGTTTTAAAAAAGATATACGTATATATAGATATGAATACAGGCAGCTAACGGCCAACCTTCAGGATTGAAGAGGCACTGGAAGAAGAAGAACGTTTTTAATATATCGCGCGAAACACAATGCTCAATACAAATGGGTCACCTCCCATTTCTCTACAAAACATAACGTTCTTATAACCTCGATGGCTGCACAAACACAATGAGATACAAACCACAAATAAATCTAGGCCCATCAGCTGTACAAATGTTTGCGAAAGGAACAAACAGGCTTTTGTCGCTACTGCTTGGCTTCGTTACGAACATTGTACGGTAATGAATTTACATTTTATTGTTCGAGAAATCGATACAAAGCGGTCACAATGCAATCCACAACGAAACGACAGAGTAGAAGACGCTTGTATGTAGAATACACCTTTGTTAAAATTATTAACACGGTGTCGCAGATGTGAATTCGATTCCCGCTTTCGACATAGACATATTTAAAAGGGGAATAGATGGGCCTTTTTTTTTCTTCATTCTACCTATGCTGATATCCCGTGATATGCGTCTAGGTGAGCTCACGGGGCTTAAAGCGGAAGTGTTGCTAGCACTGGCCCTAGCAAGAGCAGTGCTTCGCGGAATCTACCACCGGATCGGAAACGCGACCCAGTGAGAAGATCCGGCGAGAAACTCAGTGAGCTGTATCTATGGGTTCATTTACTCGGCGAGCCCTTGACCGCATGCGACGGGTTCGGCGAGGACGGTAACCGGTGCTCGAGGTACCTAAAAGCACCGTTAATGGATCGGGAGGATCCGTAATAACGTGTTTAGGGCGACGTCGACTGTTTACCATTCGGTCCACAGTATCGGGTATGTGATGCGCCACAGACGCATCACATGAGATAATTTTTATTCACCCGACTCCTCCGCTAGGTGGAGCTGCTTTCTTCGAGGATATATATAAAAGTTAGATAGATTAGTTTTTTGGATTCACATTATTATTCCACAATGACAAAATTTATAGACACGTAAAAGATTTTAAAGCCACAATTTTCTTATGAATACCACTTATGGTCTCAGGTCAGGTGGTATCGTGGAAACCGCCATGGTAGGAAGCAGTCATGCATTCCGCCGAGAAGAGCACATGCTTGTTGTTACAACGCAAATAAGTCTCTAACCTCACGACTTAAAGTAAATATTAGCATTACGATAAACTTCAGATGTAACAATAGGAATGCTTTGAACCGTGACCGGTATTATCGTACATGACGGAATCATCAAAGTAAACAAACAAAAAACGGACATTATATTGTTTATTCAAATACGGTTGCTTCACTAATCCACTTCGCACATTGTCACGTAACAAAATATAATACGAGAATGACCTTATTGAACGCCCTTGATTTCGTACACGGATCTCCAGCTACGTATTTGTTAGAATCGGAACGACGTCAGTAGGAAGTAGGACAGGACACGGAGGTTAAAATTAAACACGTTCGTGCTACGATAATCGTTATTAATTTAGCCGGATCCGAAATCTGCGATAGCGGGCACGTGGGCGGCACTTGGCGCAAGCTGCTGTTCTAAATTGTTCGGTTGATTGAGTAATAATAGTGATTGTGTGAGGACGATCAGTGGACCTGTTACGAAACGCAAATTTAAAACGTAAAAACAAATGATTTCTTAAATTGAACGACTGTTTTGGAAAACGAATCGCGAGAATGAACCTTCGAGTTCGATAAAAAAAAATTATCGTGGTAAACAAGAGGAATAACGGTATATTTCCTAGAATGTGGCAGCCCTATCAAGACTTAGCGGCAGACATAGACAGCCCAGTATCAACCACCAATCGATCAGTGGAATCGGCATCACCCACGAATGTGTTATGAACAGTTCCTAAACGAATCTTTTTGCGATGTAGCAACCAGCATATATTTACACCGTTTTATTTACGAATATAGATTTCGGTCTTGTTACTCTAGCTGGGCCGCAGTTTTTATAATGGGCTATAGTTAAAATTACCGCGGGCCGGCCGTTGTCTACGTCCGCTGTCAATAAGACAAAATACAAAATTGTAATAGAAAATAAAACCGCTTTCAACGAAATAAAATGAGAATATCATTAATGTTGTCGAAGTTAATTAAATCTACTAAGCAAATATTGATAAAATTTAAAAGGGGATTACATGAAAAACACTTTAAATAAAAAAAGCATAATCAAAATCGGTCCGCGTAGAAAGTTTCTAAATTCGAAACATTTAAAAAAAATCTTGTTGACAACAATGACAACCTCCTCTTATTTTTAAGTCGACTTAAAATATAAGTTAAGTCGTGAACATGAGACGCTCTCTTCTCGTAACTTCCATTTTTTTATTACTGAATTATAACAGTAACTTAAAATATTCAGACTCGGTATGTACGTTTGTATAGGTCGTATGTTGGTGATTGTGTTCATTGGAGAACCAAATGTTATTGTTTTGCGTCTTATTTTGGACGTAGATAAAGAAGTTTTTTAATGTGAACCTTATATCAATCCCGGATAAAGCTTAGAGCATATCGTGTAGGTTCATATGTCCTTGTAGATATTTATTAAAATAAATTACCTAAAATAAATGCCATAACATAATAAAGTCCGGATTCTTTTCAAGTTTTCCACTTGAGTTTACAACAATTCCACGTACTAAGAAGTTTTTATTTAACAATGAGTTACTTGATGTTCTTATTGTTTAAAAAAAAGATACTTATTGTACTTTTTATGTACTCGCTGTGTCATGTTCCATCGCAGCAGTATTACCAGTTGTTTATTTTGTATATAAAATGAAGTTTTTCAAACGTTTCTCAAGATGTTTAGAAGTGTTCCGATGTCCTCTTATCTACTACAACTATTAAATATCTCAGAATTTCGGTAGACAGGTAAAAAATTGTTTATTTGTATTTGTTTGGTAAACTTTATCAAACAGAAACGATAAACGATGTAAAAATTCTTTGTAAGTAATATTTGTCACTGGATATCGCTATTATTTAATCTATATATATGAAAATGAAACCCGTTTTCCGTTGTCACGACATAACATGAAAACGGCTTGACCGATTTGGCTAATTTTGGTCTTGAATTATTTGTGGAAGTTCAGAGAAGGTTTAAAAGGTATAAAAATATGAAAATGCTCGGAATTAAATAAAAATAACAATTTTGTTTTTTCCTTTGATGTGTCCCCGTCGGACGAATTTCTTTTGTTTGTTTTAAGTTTATTTTATACAAAAGTTTAGGCCTTATAATTATCGATTGACTACGAAGTCTGCCTGATCAGCTAGTATTCAATATGTTACAAAATTGGAAGTTACAAAAGAGCAAACGAAGTCTCAGGAGACTGCTACTCCGAAGCCCGAGATAGGAGACTACATTGAAACAAATTCCACAATGTTTTTAACAAAGATGTTTTTATTTCTTCTAAAGATATAAGTTCTAAAGATCTTCACAGTGGGTCGCGTTTCCAATCCGGTGGTAGATTCTGATATAGTAGCCTCTCAAGGCTATCAGCATAGGTAGAAAAGAAACAAAAAAAGCCTCAATATCCTTGCTATATAATATTCACTCGACGTAACCATAAGTTTCGTAATGGAATTTTATCGCTACCTGTTTGTCCGTTTATCTGTTATATAACACCCTCAAATATGGCTTATCATTTCAAAAGATATTTCTGAATTATAAACGACCTTGATCCGTTCCAAGTATCCGTAAACTCTGAAAATGTTTACCATTATAACATAACCACTGATTTGTTTTTTCCTTATTGGAATTTGTATTTAATTTATTCTTTTACGTTGTGTTCAAACGTTTTAAGGCGTAACTAATGTCTGACATTGTATTGTTCGTTAAAGAGATGACAATGTGGCTCTTCTTAAATCTTGAAACTTCAGTAACAAGTACGTTGTTTTAAAACTACAAAAACGTCTATACCTTTGATTGAGGTAATCAGGATCATCGAGATTAAACTTGAACAACTCTCGCACAGCTGTTAGAAGTATGTATGTATCATCTTCTAACACTAACTCTATGTTAGCGATGCGACTTCGACAATAAAACATGAAAAACGCGCGATCGTCGACATTTTAACGAGCTTCTAAGGTTTTTTTATTGCTTTTTTGTTACTTAATACAATACGGACTACAAATCCTTGAAATTTGGAAATTCAAGTCAAAAGTATACCAAATCATTTTTTTGTTTGTTACAGAGCGAATCGAGCTATACATCGTCAGAAGAAGGGTGCGGTGCGGGAGAGCGTCACGCCGTGCTCAGCTACGAGCAAGTGCGGCGGCTCAATGACGTCATGGACGAGGTGGTGGCCATCCACGGTCGCGGCAACTTCCCTACGCTGCACGTGCGCCTACGCGAGCTTGTAGCTGGGGTGCGAGCCCGCCTGGAGCTGGCGCAGGCGGCTGGCGGGGCCGGGGTCTCCGTACGGGATGTCCGCCTCAACGGCGGCGCTGCCAGCCACGTGCTCGGCGACAACCCACAGCCTTACTCCGACATCGATCTCATCTTCACTGCGGAGCTGCCCACGGCCCGTCACTGTGACCGCGTTAAGGCCGCGGTGCTCGGACACTTGGCCACGCTGCTGCCTCCGGCGACGCCTCGACGTCGCACGACACCTGCTGGACTAAAAGAGGCTTACGTTTCCAAAATGGTCCGCGTGAACTCGGACGGTGACCGCTGGTCTCTCATTTCTCTCGGCAACTCTCGCGGACACAAATCCGTGGAGCTCAAGTTCGTGGACAACATGCGCCGTCAGTTCGAGTTCTCGGTAGACTCGTTCCAGATCGCTCTCGACTCCCTGCTCGCGTTCCACGAGTGCGCCCAGCTGCCGATCGGCGAGAACTTTTATCCCACTGTCGTCGGTGAATCCGTTTACGGCGACTTTAACGAGGCTCTGCATCACCTGTCAGAGAAATTGATAGCGACGCGGCAACCCGAAGAGATCCGCGGCGGTGGCCTCCTGAAGTACTGCGCTCTGCTAGCCAAGGGCTACAGAGCCGCGCGTCCCGACAAGATCAAGACCCTCGAACGCTACATGTGCTCGAGGTTCTTCATAGATTTCCCGGAGCTCGGGCAGCAGCGCGCCAAGCTCGAGGCTTATTTAAGGAACCATTTCGTGGGCCGAGAAGAGGAAGCGCTCAAGCACAGGTAATATACCATCCACACTTTAAATCAATTACTCAGTATAAATTTACGATAACATAATTTTATGAATTGTTGATAAGTTCTGTAAGTGTAACTTTAATTGTAAAACTAGTAAACCGAGCTCAGGTGTAACAATTTATTTCCCCTGAAAGTAAAGGTTTCAATATTGCCGAAAATCGATAAGTTCTGTTATATAAAAAGTGTAACTTTAATTGTAAAACTATAATAGTAAACCGAGATCAGGTGCAACTGATTTCCCCTGAAAGAAAAGGCTTCGAAATTACCGAAAAAGACTTGAAAATGCAAATAAACGAAGATAAATGTAACGTTTATGTTGTTTAGGTACCTCACGTTGCTGCACAGCGTGGTCCGCGAGTCGACCGTGTGCCTGATGGGCCACGAGCGGCGGCAGACGCTGGCGCTGATCGAGGCGCTGGCGTGCCGGGAGCTGTGCGCGCGGACGCCGGTGCTGGTGCAGCCGTACTACCTGTGCGTGTGCACCCCCTGCCCCGCCTGCGCCTACACAGCCTGCTGCGAGTGCTGCCGGCCGGCGCTCTGCCCCGCGTGACCGCCGTACCCTGACCTTCGTTATAGTGCCAAATGTATATAATACTAAAACACGTATGTAATATATGTATTCGCCGATAAGAGCGATCGTTTTAGGGTCGGTTTCAAAAAAATATATATATATGACGCTTGAAAGGCAAACGTGACTAAGCAGCGACAATGCGTGAACTTTACAGTATTACTGGTGGTAGGACCTCTTGTGAGTCCGCGCGGGTAGGTACCACCGCCCTGCCTATTTCTGCCGTGAAGCAGTAATGCGTTTCGGTTTGAAGGGTGGAGCGGCCGTCGTAACTATACTGAGATCTTAGAACTTATATCTCAAGGTGGGTGGCGCATTTACGTTGTAGATGCCCATGGGCTCCAGTAACCACTTAACACCAGGTGGGCTGTGAGCTCGCCCACCCACCAGAGCAATAAAAAAAAAAAAAAAGTTATTTATAGTTGAAATACCTGAAAAAAATTTCTATTTTAACGAATCTAGCTGTAGGATTGAAATGATTTTAATAGACCTAGAATATTTTTTTTGCGCATCGAATATGGTTATTGCCTATCATTTATGTACAAAGCAGTTATTGTCGCTTAGTCACGTTTGCCTTTCAAGCGTCGATATGTATTCAAAAACTTAAGTGCGTCGCCGGACGCGGAGGAGCCTGTCAATTCGAGCCCATACGTCGCGTCCCGGAGCAATTCATCACGTCAATTGTCGCCCGGCTCGCCGGTGCAGTGCGCAATGTGCAATGCCATCGGGGCACCCAGGGGCGCTAGGTCGTAAAACTGATTCGTGAAATAATTTCAGATCGTACTCCTGTCGTGTTGATAGCTTAATATGTTAGCAGTACGAAAATTATTCACGTAAACCAGACCGGATGCGCTGTCGGAAGACGAATCCGAGTCGATAGTCTGCCTAAAAAAAAAGACTAGTTAGTTATTCTTGATAGGTTATTTTCCATAAATTTAAAGGCATGTCTCTCGCCGTGATCAGTTATCGGAATTCCGATTGAAGTCAGGTTGAATCGCTAATTTAAAAAAAAAACTGCAAGCAATTATTGTTCTATTATAGTTATATTGAATGAGAAATGTCCGATTGATAGTTGGAAAAATATGGATATTTTTTGTAGGATCAATCAATGTAAACGAATCAAGCCTTTTATCTGACGGCTCTTGGCGCGATAATATAATCCATTATTTTGAATAATGATAATGAATAAACCTAGGAGTGACCGGCCGCGATCCGTGGTTCGAGTTTGAACACAAACATTAATAAACTCCGCACGTCACTTCGAATTCTATTTTATTATGTATTTTTAAATGAAACAATACGAACTGAAATCGTGTATCTAATATATAACAAAGTCTTAAGTGGTTTCTCTAGTATTGTATACGGCTTGGCGTAGCTAAGTTACAATTAAGTCAGAAAAACATTAAAATCGAAAAAACAAAAAAAAAAACTAAGGTGTGTACAATATTAAAGTTCACGCTTTTATTTTAATTATTTGAAATATTAATAGAAATATTTTTATGGATATTTACAAGTATAAAAGTCACTTTATAAAATACAGTACTTATGAATAGTTACATTACTATTTTTCATCGATTGCTGCATGAAAAAAAAAAAGATGTAAATTGTATAAAAAATGTGATTTTATTGTTGTAGATATGTTCGTCGTTGATTATTGTATGATTACTTAAAGTATAAAAATATGTCTCGAAGGAAGCGGCGCGAGATCGGAACGGCTTTGTAAAATAAAATAAATAAATAAACGTTTGTGACTTATTTCTTTATCAGAAATAAAGATTAAAATTTTAATCAAGCTATAAAAGAAATCTCCTAAAATTTATGGAATCGCATTGAATACGTCTAAAATACTATCAGCGTCAATTACAACAAACAAAATGATGCTTTATAAAAGTTTGAAACATTTACATCCGACCTAATGCTTCTCTGATCTCGAGATATGTAGTTTAAAAATCGATAGAGAAATATAACTGTTGCATATTTAACGAGAGTATATTATGAACGACGGTGTTAACGTGTCCGGCCAATAATGTGCGTGTCTTAGATTATTTGCCAACGCATATAAATATATTATATAGTATTGTGTATCATTGTAGGGCTTCGTAAGCAGTATATTGTTGAAACATTTTTTAGTAGTTGAATTTGCAATTAGAATTATTCAAGTACAATTCACTGTTAGTGTCGTGTCTTTTTGGTCTTTAAAAAAAAGTATTGTAATGAACGAATTTCTAACTTGCTCATTGTGTAATCAAAATTTAAGATCTCATCTCTTTAAAACAAAATTCCTTTATATCACTTACTCGTTGTACTGTCTCGTATTTAATAAATATATTAATATTATAATGATCTAGAATCTAGATCTAAGAGTCGTAATTCGTTCCGTCTCATTTTTCTTGAACACAGAAATATAAGTAATGATTACTAGCGTACTTAAGTATCTGTGTATTAGTTACAAAATTTGAATACATTTAAAAATATTCAATGTAATGCGATAGAACGCAACAATATAGTATACATATATCTCTATACACTACTCAATATGTACTTAGATGTAAAGCAAAGTACATAAGATTAACGAAAATTTTAAGTAATTAATTACAAAAATGTAAGTATTTGTGAAATTTTTATTACATATAAGGTAACTTGATGTATTGAGACAGGCGTTAATTGTGACTGTAGATTTTTCGATAAAAGTTTATCGTCTTTAAAATGTTGTAGTGATTTTTTCGGAAATATCTGTGATCGACACACATTCTATACTGTAGATCGGCTATTAGAATAGTTAAAACAACATCCACGTGTTTGGATTCGATAAGTGCACTATACATAAGATGTGTTTGTTACTACAAAGTTATGTATTAGATTCCCGTTTAATGCTTGGCGTTTAAGACAGCGCTTATGATAATGTCGTCTATAATTGAAAATCTAAAACTTGATCAACAAAAGTTCCTCAAAAACAACTCAAACATTTGGCCTAAAAGTGCTTAAAGCCCGTTATTTAAGCTCTTGTATGTTTCTCTATAAAATGATTCGCCAACAAAAACTATCTACTGAACAATTTATTTGAAAATAAAGCAGAGAGACATTGCAAAATTCATAGTTAAGTTTTATTTTTATATTTTTTTTTCTAAAGTTACCATCAGTTTTCAGCTAGCTTTTTATTCTTTTTAATAAAGTTTTTACTCTATATTCACTGGTCAAAATGGCGTTTGCGTGCGATAGCGAAGTTTGATGCATGTTTATTTTGTAGGTGTAGTTTTAAGGAAAATTGTCACATCCCTGCATTTAAAACACAATTTTAAAGAAAAAATATTAAAAAAATATATAATTTAAGTGAAAAACTAAAATTTAGTGTTTTATATATAGGGAAACTTCAATTTAAAATGGGTATTAAAAACGAGATTAACTTTCAATTAACTTTCTGCAAAAAGTTATTGCTAAAACAAGATCTGTAGATCTAGAGACTAAGTTTTAACAAATAGCGTTGAAGCTAGAAGCAAGCAGTTATCTTGTTCGAACATCAAATTGTCTTATAAAATTTTAAAGCAAAGTTTTATAAATAGTGTTACATGACAAAAAATCTTCACTCAGAATTTAAATATTACAGTGAAGTATTCTAAACAACATGGCTTACTTTGATGACACGATGATTACGTCTGTTGACATAACCAAAAGAAAGCCAATAGAATATTCCGATGAAGATACGTTAAATGAATTTTAAACTAAAAACAATGTAGGTAATAACATACATACAAATACACAAGCATTTATTTACCTGTACCGAAGGAATTATTAATGGAAGATTGGAAGTCAAAACGAGTGTAGATGGGAGAATACTTTTCAATTTCTTTTATTTTTCTATTAACAGTAGTAGAAAGAATATACTAGCAGTTGTGTTTGAAGACGCCTTGGTGTCTATTTTGATAAACTACACTCGAGAAGAATGAGGACAGAGTGTTTACAAATATGAAAGATGTAGAGTTGTGAACGCAAACGCCGAACGAAGCAAAGGCTCGTTCCAACAACACTGAAAATATCTTGGAACAGTAGTCATGGTATAGTTTATTTAATGATTTATATGTTCAGTAACCTAGGTGACCTAAGTTCATAAATCAGATATGCAAAATGTATATATTTGAGTAACGACTGATGCACTTGAGGTTTCCTTGTCTCTATGTGGCCTAGCGATGGAATGTGAACAATTTTACCTGTTTATGTCATACAAAAGAATAAAGTACTTTCTTAAAGAATTACTTCTAAAATTCACATCACTAAGCTGCTAGCGTGGCGGTCTTCGTATTTGTAGCTTTTGCATATGAACATAATGTTGATGGTGAGACATCTTTTGAACGGATTAGCAATGTATACAATTAATCTTACTGCATTCGAGTCACACCTTTGAAAAGATGTATATAATTTGTTCTATTACTAAGATCACTTAGAAAGATGAAGCCTTAAACGTATTATACCATGCCCCAACTGTTCCTGATTTTTTTCGGTCTCATGGAGCGAAGCAATGTTGTTGATCGCTCATATGTTAAAAGCGATAGCACGACATGAACAGACTCTCTAATATAGGGTTGCTAGCTCATAATGCCTTGTATAAGCTTACTGTTAGTTTTAGTTATGGTCGAACGCAAACACGTGACGTCACAAGACAGTATACAATCGCCTGGATGGCGCTGCTGAATTTGTTGCTGTAGTTTCGACCTATATTTACATAATTATAGTTATTATTCTTTTTCAAGTTGCCTGTTGCGTGTACGATGCGTATATTTTATACGCTATATTGTTACGATACATAATGATTACTATATATTTGTGAGGAGTTTTAAGCTATTGTAAATTTACAGAAAAAAAAATTAAATAAAATGTTGTGAAAAAAAATAAATTATAAAAAAGTGATATAAACAATGGAAATTGTCTTTTTATTTCCGTCATTCTCATCCCATTTATAATTTAGATCCTATAAGTTTAAATACTAAATAAACCGAGCTAGATATATCCTTGGCTGTTATGGCAGATCAGACTATTAGATTTGAGATTTTTTTTCATTGGTTGAAGTGTTTATTACCGGTGGTAGGACGTATTTTCCGCGCTGGTCGGTACCACCACCCTGCCTATTTCTGCTGTAAAGCAGTAATACGTTTTGGTTTGAAGGGTGGGGCAGCCGTTGTACTATAAAT